TTTGTAACATACTCGAAAAATTTGATATAGTATATCAAATTCCTAAACAAGGATTAATAAGTAATCTAACATGTACGAAACAATTCCAGTCTAAATTCATGAGCAAAGACTACCATGATAAAACAAGAACTTACTACTTGATATTTTCATAATGATATATTTAGGAAATATAAAAATAAACTCGATTAAAACACAAACACATTATCAGTTAACTTATTTGATAATATGAAACGTTTCAATACTAACAGTGTAGTTATGTTAAAATTATTATCAAAACTGTAGAAGTAAATTGTTCGTCCTTTTAACTAAAGATTTGACCTTATTCCACTTGGAAATAGTTACAATTAATTCACCGAGGAAGTTGTTTCTCTTAAACTAGTTTAACTAATATTAAAGTTTTACGTGCTGCAAACTTGTCCAAGAGTTGCGAATAATAAATAGCTTAAATTAAACTGTCCACTGTAAAACATGAACTATTTTTCATATAATAAATTGTGCTGTTGTATGTATAAATAGTTGTCCTGATTTTAAGTAATAATTTCAAGTATTTCTATAATAAAAGAAACGATTTTATGTTTGACATTTTGTACATTACAAATTATTCATTTAAAAATTGCTATGTAAGCTTCCTCTATAATCACATAACTTATTGATTATTTAGTATAACAATTACTGATAATAATACTATTTATGCTCTATTTAAGAATTAATGTACTTAAAAGTAATAAAAGTTTTCTATGATGGTATAACATACAGGAATGAGGGTGGAATGTTCGGATATTTGACATGACAACTATACGAATGATACGGGTTTAATAATTAATTTATGTGAACTTAACAGAAAATTGATTCAACGCACACATCGTGTGCTTTGACGACAGGTAAGATGCACGTTTTTAAATATTCAATATTTAATGTCCGCGTTAAAAACAAAGAACAATAACATCTTCCTACCTAGTAATCAATCTGTAAGTTTGTATATAATTAATGTAAGTGATATATGGCAGGTCATAACTGTGCATGACCATCATATAATTACTATTAATTTAATTTCTGCCAATACATTATTTTCATTACATGCAATTAATTATTTTTTGGTATCTACTGCATTTACAGTTTGTTTAGCAATAGACAGTTAGGCAAATAATTAACTATTGCATTTAATATTAAATTAAGTTATTCATTATTAGTATTTAATGACATTATACTTGCAACATTTACTATGGTAAGTCTTGGGGACTGCACATTAACAGCTAATTTATTTGACAGGTATAAAGTTCTCATCTTGATTGGTTTTTTCGGTCTAGCATTGTTGTATTAAAGCTTTTTGGCATACGTGGTCATGTAAGAGAGTGAATGACTTAAAATATATATATGTATATAATGCACATAATAATAACATTAAGTTTGTTTTCATCAGAGCAAATAAAAATAAAAATTTGGCAACCCCATGTGGGTCCTCAAAGACTGCCAATTTCATATACATGTCTCTAAAGTGTTTTGTCTGTAATAATTCTAGAATTTCCTGTGACTATTTCAACATAATGTGATTTAATTATTTATACAGTAAATGTGGTAATGATAATAACAGTCATGGGTTTCAGTATTTAAGTATTTATAAGAAGGTATTAAGACTTTAAAGTTTAAGTGGAGAGAAAATCTTACTCTTGTTGAGTAAAATCATAACAATTGCATTTCATTTTGAGGTTAGTTCAGATTTACCACATGAATTGTCCACAAGGGGATAAACGTTGGGATTAGGTGCAGTTCCATTGAAGGTTATTTGAGGCTTGGTTGAGGGTTATCAAGTGAGCCATTAAGTATTTACAGGAGAAACAACGGCGATTTAATTTACGTCTGTGACTGGTGGTAACATCAATAAACCGAGAGGTTAACCTCTCTCAACAAAACATGTAACAGGGGAAGAAGAAAGAAAAACGTAGCTCACCGTAGTTCATAATGCAATTGTTGTACATTGTTATTGTTTTGCTTTTCGACGCACAGGGACGGCGGTGGCAGTGGGCGCGAGGGGGAACGAAAATCAATGTTTTAAAAATACTGGGGGCAAGCACCGAAACCTCGTCGCTCCATGCCACTGGGGATATGCAGCATGTGTGATCGTGTGTGTGTGTGTGTATGTGTGTGTGTGAACTGTCAAAAAGCCAATGCACACTGGTGAATGTCAGCGGGTGGAAGGGAGATGGTCGTACGTAGGTGAGAGTGAAAGAGACAGGTGAAAAGAGATGCCAGAGTGGTAGTACTCACCTTCGTCAGAGTCATCCAAGCAATTGCTCAGCACTATCGATATATCTAGAACAAATAACAATTGACAGTTGAGTGCGTTTGGGACATCGTTTGAAGCTCTCTTCTGGACACCAGCGGAGATCCCGATGGAAACTCACCCGCCATTTTGTTGCACTATCAAAACATAGCTTTTTATGTTGGCACGTGATTCAAGCCCAGCGTGTGGTGTTCGGGCGGTTCGCAGCAAAACAAGTAAAAAGTAAATAACAACAACGGCGACGGCGGCGGCGACGACGAGAACAGCGAGAATAGGGAACGTGACTGGTCTTCTCTCCCTCACAAATTGCTGCCACTGTGCGTATCTCTACTGTACGTACGTCCGTGAATGCCCAACAACGATACGTTCCTTCAACTGACAACCGGCTCCTCCGTCTCCTTCCTTCACGCTCGACTCCGTATATCTTCTCTCTTGCTCTCGTGTTCTACGCCGTGCAAGACGCGTACTAGACCAGCAAAACTATGCTCTCGTCGACTGACTTTAGCTTGTTTCGACTTTATGTTTGTCTTTTCGTCTATTGCTCTGTTTCCACCCCCTTCTCGTTGTATCTATTTGAATCTATACACATAAACGCACCAACCCTGCGTACGTGAAATGCTTCACCTCGCTTGCACCCATTCAATTGTAGTACCAACCTACGAATGACACATGTCACCAACAATTGTCGGCGCGCATTTACGAATTTCCTTGTTTGCATCAATCGTGTATTTTGATTTCCATGATTTCTTCCAACTTCAGTTTACTCATTCAAGGACTCACTAATCAAAGATTATCAATGAAATCATCTCCTGGAATTCGTTTACTCCAAAATACAATATTCCTCTCATTCAAATTAAGTTGGTTACAGCGTTAAATTTACCAAAAATAAATATCTTTGAAATATTCTTAAACAATTGAAAGCTTTTGGGATTTCCTAAAGCCAGCTTCTTTTAATATGTATTTCAAGCAAACAAATCAATGAATGAATTCGGATTTCCGGATTTTTACTCGTATAGTGAAACACGTTTTCCCATATAAACCAATGTAAATTCCGTTAATCCGTTCCATGCCGGAGAAAAAATGTATAACTTGATCTCGATTTTGCTTTTCATATCTATGGTTATTTCTATTCTTTAGCTTTTTATTCGGAGACATGCCAGTGTTGTTAAATTTTGCACAAAAAAAAAATCACAAATAACATGTCTGAACACAAGTTTGGAAATTTTGTGATCACGAACAACACTAAGATGCAACTAGAATGACCACTAACACTATGAACTGTTTTCCAATTTACACACGATGAAGTGAGTTTATATTTGTTTGTATTACTTGTATCAATTCGGGGACTTGGTAGAAGACTTTTTATACTTTTAATATTTGTTTATATAAAAAACACATTTGTGTTTTGCATTTACAGCAAAAACAAATTATATTTGCAATGTATAGTCCGCTTTAAACAAAGATGAGAAAGAGAATCGAAGATGGTTAATATATTCAAAAATACACATAATATGTGAAAATCTTTTGTTGAAGAAATAATTCTTAAAATTACTAAAAAGATTAGATTTTTAGACATACATAACACAATGTGAAAACAATACAAACTATCCTTAATAAGTGAAACAATTGCATCGTGAATATATATATATTTTTTTAATTCTCGCTTTGATTATTAAAATGAAACTAAGAGATGAGCGAATCAAGGTGCAACAATATGAAATATACATAAGGAGATGCAGAATGGGCGTGAAATCTTAACTAGATAAGATCCTCTTTCAATAAAGCAGGATTCAACAAAATGTCATGCAATTAAGAATCAATCAAAGGTAATAATTTCGCAAACGCGAAGGTTTTTATTAGAAAGCTTTCTTGTGCAATCAAATTAGTATATTTGTTTTCTTGGAAAATAATTAACTTTATTGTCGATGGTCACTTTGAAGAATAAATACAGAATCTACTATTTTCGTATTTATTATATAACAGTTTTTAAATTAATGAAATCTATGGAAACGTAAATTATAATATGCATGTAAACTTAAATCTTATTTAAACATGATATCGCTTGATATTTACACCTGCTATAAACTTACCGTGAGTAATCCTTCTGTAAACAACTGTTTAGACGCATTAGAATTTAAATTATAGTTACCAAGCTTCTAATAGGCGTTAATTGCGACACACCTTAAACCTGAGCTGCAACACTTCATTTGTAACATCCATCTATAGAATAGAAGGCAATTTCACGACCAAACAATTTAATACTAAATGCAATCACGATTAGGTGTACAGAATATGCTGATGGAATAAGGAAGACAACGAAACAAATAAAGTAACAACAATCATCATATATATATTTTTCCTTTCTTAAAAACAATTATACAATTCCCATTTTTTTTTTGTTTGTTTAATAATAGATCTAAATTATACAGAAGAACGGTAAAGAAAAACTCTACATTTAATTAAAAAAAAAAGGAAGGAAAAAAGAAAAGAAAATTAAGAGGAAAATACTGTCGTTTTCTTTCTTTCCCACGTCGCATATAGTTATTTAAATGTATATTTAGCATCTGTGCAGAAAAATAAATATATACTCTTTCTCTCTCTTATAGAAATTCTGAGTTACCTCTGATTTAAATATATATATATGTATATATTTCGATCACCTGATTATAAAACCCATCTTTAGGCCGGAAAATAATCGATTAAAAAAATAAAGTATGTATAATAATGTATATGCTTATATAATATGTATAAAATGTACAACCATTTACATGTTACTGATCCTCCGCCAAAATGGACTCTATACACAAGTAAGTACAGTTATATATAATATATATATGATCGGAATTAATAAATTAAAGAGTAAACGGACATAGAAAGAAAGTAGAAATAAAATCGAAGTAGAAACGCTACCCAATCCAGCAGTCTTAAAAAACTAAACCCCCAATCAGTGATTAAAAAATAAATAATTGAATTACCTCCTTCATACGACTAGTACATAGTAATTTTGTTCAGGAAGCAACCAAGCGTCGAATCCATAAAAAAAATACGATTTTTTTTAGAAAAAAAAAAAAAACAATAATAAAAAAATCTGAATCTCAAAGCGTGACACTTTGGCTACATCGACAGTTAAATTAATGGAGAACGGTGAGAATGCAAATGCATAAAACTCTTAACAATTATCAATATTTTCTCTCTCTCTTACGAAGGAAGGATACATTTTAACCTCCATTTAATGGAAATATTTTAAAGCTCGATTAAATTTCCTCGATAAAATTTTAGTGGACACCTATAAACTACTCACTTGAATCAATTTCAATTGCTTGGATTGTCTTCGACGACTTGCCAGAAAGACGCGCGACACATGGGGCAGTCGGTCAGTTGAGATGCGCAGGTTTTGCAGAACCCCCTTTTTTTAAACGTTAAAAAAGATCAATTAATGATGGAAGTGGTTTTGATGTGGGAGGGAAAATACTTACGAATGCTCGCATGGCATAAGCCGCACGGAAGCCTTTTGATCATAGCAAATGGTGCAGCTGTCCTCCCTGACACTCTGCTGCCTGAGTTCTAGTAAAAAGATATGCCTAGGCATCACGCGCTTGTTATCGGGCTCCAGGATGCCGTGCTCGTTGAATGTCGAGAAATCGAGCTCCGGCGGGAATTTGAAAGGATCAGCGCCGAAGTTGAAGCGGCACTGTTGGAACGACATAAAACTGGCCGCTGCGAAGAAACCAGATCTGAGGAGAAAGAACAAATTTTAAGAGGTGGTGTCAAGTACGGACGTGAAAATAATCAGTACTTTGCCATATAGAACACATGTGTACATGGTGGTAAACTCATTCCGTTTATAGAAAACACCACTTGCTGGTTCTCCAAGTCCAGGAGGCATCCCAACGTGTCGCCGGGATTCCAGCGTGGCAAGGTTTGCGGCTCGGATTTGGCGTTGTACCAGATCAATCGTCGACAGCCGTCGTAGGACAGCGAAAACTTGTCGTCCCCGATGCCGTAACCTTCCTGCAAACCAATTTAATCGAATCAAATATAAATAAAACACCCATTGCCGTCTTCATATCATTACGTGATTGAGGAAATTGCTGTTCTTTGTTGCCCAGCCGATTTGCATAACTCCGGGCGTTATGATCGTGACTTCGTAATACCAAATACCAGAATCAGCCTGCGCCGTGCAACGCACACTCTCGAAAGAATATGCGTCGCATCGAGCCTCCAATCCATCGGAAGAGATCTTCAGGTACTCGCTCACGTCTCCCGTGTTGAGCATGGCGTTGATGTGGCCCATGTTTATGGTCAGATACGTAAACTTCCGATTATTCATAACAACTGCAACAACAACAAATCGCAATATGTAATTTATGTCTTTTCGCATTTAATTGCGAACTTACAGAGATTGTCAAGAGCCCACTGAGCGCAGAAACCCACTTGTCTGCGAACGAAATGCGTCTCTTGGCGCCATTCCTCCAATTTGCAAATGGGACAAGGATCTTCCGTCTCCAGTCTGCGAATTATCGTTGCCTTGTTCTCGCTGGTCTGCGCGAATTTCTCAAGAGCAATCAGCGAGAATAATATCACGTGCGGATCGCGCTCGGTGTCCTGTAATTATTATTAATGGATAGTGGAGGAGGATGCGGCAGAGAGATATTAAAAGAGCTCTTACAAGATTGGCGAGGAGGTAATCCAGGGTCTCGTCGTTCAAGATTCCCAAGCTGCTGGGACCGGCCAGTTTTTCGGCGATGCATCCAAGAACTACGCAGATGTTCCTTTCTCTTTGAGGTGCCAATCGACCAGCGATCGCACGCTCTTTCGAGAGATTGAACATCTTCGCTACTTTTTGCACGGACTCCCTGGACGGAAGAGGGCAATCATCCAGGAGGAGGGTTATCACCGATGGACCCAGAGGATCGTCCATCGGGATCACTTGCACCATGGACTTCACCACCTGAATCCATCCTTCCTCGTTGTCCGCTATACTGTGTAAACGTAACATCGAAGGAGGCGGATCTTGCTCACTACAAAAAAATCATAATTTATACTATAACATACCAAAAACTTTAACCTTTTGTGTACGAATGGTTCCACTATGGGACCACATAAAGTGTAATGATTTCCAAGCTTTTTATTTTCCAGTGGTTCCTCAGTGAAACCACATGTTTTTTAAATACTAAACAAAAATTTGATCATGCATTCATTCGTAAAGTATTTATCCAAAAAAAGTTTTAACAAAATTAAATTGGGCCACAAGAATTTAATACTTTTCTTAATGATTTCAACTTTTGTTCGATTATCTCCAAGTATAATTGCCTTTATGTGAAATATATCGTAAAACAAAATTAATATAATCGAACATCGTACGTTTTTGTATAAAACAAGTATATTATATTCCTAATTATAAATATTCTGAATGTAATTTATAATTTGATGACTGATTCCTTTTTTCTGAAAATTATTCAAAACGACAACATATTTTCTTTATATGATATTCAACGATTTGCAAATTAATAACATTCAATTAATATTCGAAATACAATTGCGCCTGTAACTATTTAGAAATAGGTTAAGTTGTTTCAGGTTAAAAGTAATATTATACAAGTTAAGTTAGGTTATAAGTGTCACAAGAAAAATAAAGGTTAGGTTATAGGTGCAACAGGTATTTAAATTTAAAAAAATCGCAATACTTGTGACAAGTATGAATGTTATTTTCCAATTCGAATATGTTATAAACAATATAATCTATTTTCGCTTCCTATTAAATAAATTCCGAGAAGAAAATAGATTTAATTTTGTGTACACTGTAATGGAAAATAACCCCCTCCCCCCCGACAGTAATGAAGCGTGGTTTTATTTTATTGACCATAAAATTATCTATAAAGTGACGTGAATTCCACGAGCTTAATATTTCATAGAGCGAGTACACGAAAATAGAAAGACGAAGGGGGAGAGAAGAATATAAATGAAACACCGAGTACATAGGAAATTTACTTTAGAAACTAATTAATTATTTATAGAACTTTTGTTACACATACGACGAGGAGTTCAACCTTTTTGAAAGTAAAATCGATCACCTTTAAATCATTAGGATTCAAGCGCTTCTTCAAATTACGAAGCCACAAAGATACTACGTATCTTATGAACATTAAATAACCGCAATTACATCATTGTTCTATCTGCATTTGCAATTACATCTAAGAAGTTAGAATTACGCAGAGAGAAAGTATTACAAAACTGATGTTTGAAATCCTGCGTTCTTTTATAAAGAGAACAAAACAATAACAACAATAAACGTCAATTAAAAATAATTCCACGTCACGTATTGTTTTAAATAAGAACAAACGCATTTAAAAGACGTCCCAGTTAACGGACGGAAATATACACAAAATTCGTCAACTTGAAAAATATTGTTTTGTTATGACTAAAATTGGTCGGATAAAATTGACCAAGAATAAAATATTTTCTATATGAACTTTAGAATTAGGGTATATATGATGAAATACAAAACATCTGACATGCGAATAACTCGGCGGCTCAAATTGAATGCTGGAGATCGATAATTTACGTAATGGCAATATCTAGTAAACCGTGTGGCCCCATTCCAAGTGGCCCGCAAATTTATTATCGTTTGATAACACATATTTCATATTCGATATTCTTGAACTTATTTGAGAAAGGTGTAAGTTGTTGTTTATCAACAAAGCAATAAATATGGATAAACAATCCAACTGTTGGTGGCTCTGATCTCTAAAGCAGTGATTTAGACATGTTATGACATATGTTTTTAGACATAAAAAGTTTCTGCGACTCCCCGAAGAATGGATATGCAACCTACACTTTGAGAATCACTGCTCTAAAGAATCTTCAATATTTACTGTCCATTAAGATCATCAATATTTAAAGTAAAATTATTTATTATTGTCAACTTACAATAATAAAGATAATTTTCAACGAGTCCATAATACAAATATCGTTTTCATAACAAAAAAAAAGTTTTGTTGTAAACATGAAGTTACAAATATAGACTGATGATCGAATACATTTATAAACAATGTAACGTGTTTATAACACATTATTATCAAAAATAATGAATCAAATAGCTTAAACTTTCACTTTAAATGCAAATAATAAAATATTTTAACTTAGTTCCGGGTTTACCTTTTTTAGCATTTCATTATTTTTAAAAGAACAAATCTTTGCTTGGACAGTAAATAAAATTGTATCGTTTCAATGGAAAGTTCTAAATTTACGAAAACCTGTTGTTGTGTCCAACCAACAAAGTGTTGATATATGTTAATAAGTACTGTGTATCAATCAGTCTTAGTTAGTCCTAGAACAGTAATAGTCCTAGTGCGAGACCCATGTTAGTTCTAGTATAACTCTTAAAAAGTAACCTATGCTTGTTAGCAACTGGAAGCTAGATTAAGCATTAAGTATTCAGATTAATACTCTAAGTGTTAAATAAATACTATTATTATACTGACTTTAATCCATACTCTTCCATAAAACCCACTAGGACTCCACATGTATTGTCGATGTGGAGTACTAGTTATTCAAGTGTCCAGACATATTCCATCCCGGGTTTTCGTTGTTATTAATCCAATTAGAATATCGATTTATTGCAAAGAAAAATTAATTTTACTGAAAGTACTCAGTTTAAGCAGTCCCAATTTACGAAAATCTTTTTTTTATTTTCTTTAAACTTGTAAAATTATGAATATAAGGGCAGAAAGACCTATGGTCAATAGCCTTTTGTAACAGTTTGTTAACTTTTTGTTTCATTATTATTGTATGGAAATCCAATTAGATTAAATACATTTATTTTGAGCAAAAAATCAACGACAATATTTGTTTATATTTGTACGATAAATTTTTATCAATTGATAAATTAAAAATCTGATAGAGCTTAATGAATTTTTAATACATATTGTTATCATAAATAATTATATTATAATTTAAAAAAAGTTAAACAAACATATTATTTTCTTTAAATTTTATCAGATTAAAATTAAGTGAATTCATGAAGTTTTATATAAAAAAATAATTAAATTATGTTATTAAATGTAGTGTTTACTTTTAATATACAGTGGAACCTCGCAGTTTAATCCGTTCCAAAATTTCCGGATTTTTACTCGTATAGTGAAACATATTAAAAAATACAGTGGAACCTCGCATAAAGAGTGACGATGAGAAGAGAAGTCCCGTATTGCGCGCCTTCTATATCATTTTTAAAACTTGTGCACTTGTGAACAATGTAAATCAATTATTTATGTAACATTATTATTATACCAATGAAATATTGATTTTTTTTTTGAGAGAGATGTAATTTTTCAAATTGTAATTGTATAATGATTGCAAGGTGTTTTCAATCACAATTAGAACAGTCATGATAATTACAGCAGATACCAACAATTCTTGTCATCACAGCCAACCAATGTAATCTATTAATATCACTCAACAAGAGTGATTCACAGGTCTCTTTGTCACAGCAAGCTGGTGTTGAACAAAAAAAAAAAGAGTCAGCATTGCAAACATTGTGCTGTAATCAGCGACTTGCCATTATCAAGTGCTGGATATTATTGTGTGCAATTGAATTAGTGATAAAAGAGTGCATGTTTGTGTGTATGTGTACACAAATATTACAAAGCAAAAAAACGAAGTTATCAGACAGACAGCTAAATGATCATAATAAAGATATGCACTTACTTATCCACCAGTGTCCCAATTACACCCAAAGTCTCTAGCACTAGGTTATCAACAGTGTCGGAATCGGGGCAGCCTTTTTCCGCACTTTCCATGTAATATTCTGGCACATCTGGGATGCCCTCAACAACATGTTGGTTTCTCAGTTGACTGGGGAAGTACAAATCTCCGGCATCCTGTTTCTCTTTGCAACAACAAACACCCATCGCATTATCATTCGCAGGTGATCTGATTCTTTAGTACACAGCACAGATAATACTTGTGGCAAATTCGACTAGCAGAAACAAACAGAACGGAGGAGGTGAAGGAAAATGGGGGAATGATATGTTATGTGTGGTTTTATTTTTTGCTGTAAGATTTCAGGAAAGAAAATAATGCGAATAAACCGATTCGGCCGTTCGCCACTACATGCTCATTTTATTTTCAATCTGATCCACTTAAACTTTCCATTATCCTTGTTTACGTTGGTGTAATCATCGCACTCAGCATGTCATTGTAATCGTTTGTGTTAATTCGATTGGAATCGTTCTTCTCTTCTGCTCTTGGCATATGGAATGTATTCGGACGATCTTCCACGATTATCTAAACAACAACCACCAGACGCACAATTGCGCTGCAGCAATTAGCTAATACACACGGCGAGCAATTCAAATTCGTGCAATATAAATAAACTGAACATCACCAAACGGAATTCACTCGTCTATTTTTCATGGTTAGGTTTCCAACTGGATATATAGCGTGATGACACGCAGGTTGACCAACCCAGGAAAACGCGTATTCCCCACCGCGCAAACATCATTAGGGAAGACTAATTATTTACACCGATTAGCGTTAATTAATTAGTTTAACATGACAATCACATGCAATGAAACACTACGTAAATTTAAGATAACTCAAAACATATTGACGTTAACATTTAACAGCCAATAAAATTTGTAAAACAAATAACACTTCAATTTTCATTTTTGAATTTAATTACGGAGTTGGAGTTGGTGCAGTCGTCGAGTGTGGTTGGTGCCTAACCTCAATCGAGGA